GCTTGTATCGCGAAAGAGGGAAATTCATATCCACACAACTGAATGTGAGCTTTATCATTGATATTGAGCAATTTCCAATATGTACCGTGCACATATTAAATATATAGACATTATATATATATATATATATATATATATATATATATATATATATATAATTTTATATATTTATACATACATATTAAAGTGCTCAATATATATATATGTGTATGCGTGCGTGTGTGTACATATATATATATATATATATATATATATATATATATATATATATATATATGGTAAAAGTGAATATAAATATAAATAAATATATATATATGTATAATTATTTATATATTATATACGGTACTTTGTCTGACGATCGCTAAAGCGTGAAATATATCACAAACTCACATCTATCCAACCAAATATATATATATATATATATTTTGAACAATAAGAAAATAAAAAATTAAAAAATTAAAATCATTAGACACACTGGGTTGTAGATTAATATTCTTTCGTTTTTTTATTATTATTATTCCATTTAGATTCCTCTAAATGTATATATATATATAAAGAGAGAGAGATAGGCGTAGGATGCGGAAAAGTTACCAATCTGAGCCACTTGCCAAATAACTGGATATAACACATTGTGCTTTTTTTAAATATGTTTCTTGGTGCGACTGAAAACTTTTCAGCGAGCTCTGTGATAGATTTATATATATTTATATTCATTAATTGCAAAATACACGTTTTTTGACATTTAGTCTTGTATATGTTTTTCATTTTCTCATATTCTTTCACACTCAGTAAGCCCTTACTTTTTAGTGGCGTTATTGCTTTTCCTGGATAATAATATATATATGGTTATATATATATATATATATATATATATATATATATATATATATATATATATATTCATGTGTGCACATATATGTTAGTATGAATTCTCAGTGTATGGATTGGTGAATGCGCGTACTACCGTTTTCAAATATTATTATCGATAGAATCTTTCAATAGCTTTGCAAGAAGTGCAAGCAGTTGGAATGGAGCAAAATGCTTATAAGAATTTTTCACTAATTACCCAAGACACTATTATTTGTCTTGTAAAACCTATTCTCGACCATCTTAAGGAGTTGGGTCCGATTCGATGCCACAAAGATTTCGTTCGCTGATCTTTTAGTTTTTAGAATTAAAAAAAAGATAGAATTTTCATGATATTTATTTTTTATCCATGCAAAATTAATTTTATAATATAAAGATTATTAATCTTATTCAAATTATATATATATATATATATATATATATATATATATATATATATATATATATATATATATATATTATTTTTTTATTTTTAATTAAGATGATCAAACATTTAAAATCCCATAGGTAATACTTTTTATTTCATGAGAGCTTTAAAAAAACAGCTTTCAATCTTCAAGAGCTACAAACAAATCATAAATGAAATGGAAAAAATATTCCGGGTTAAAATCAAGAAATATTGCTATTTTATTTAGAGAGTGGGAAAAGAAATGAGTGTTGCTTTTTTTTAAAGCTCTCATGAAATAAAAATTATTACCTTCTTGCGATTTTAACTGTTTGATATTCTTTAATTAATAATAATTTTGCTCTGTTTTTTGACATAGAGCTCTCTCTGGATCTATATCCTGCTGGAAATTCCATACGGATTACCATATTGTATCATTATATATATATATATATATATATATATATATATATATATATATATATATATATGTGTGTGTGTGTGTGTGTGTGTGTATATATATATATCAAGGTGTAGGAGAATAAACAGTAGGATTACAGCGTTCAAAACATTAATTTAAAAATAGTGCTCAATACATAAAGTAGAGCCGTAAATATTTATCTTATGCAGTGTTACATTAGAACATGCACATATCCACTACAAAATTGTACATTTTTGTTTCAACGTCAAAATAGGGGAAAACCTGTTATAGATTTCTCATCAGGTGGGGAATCAGTGTTTTCCCCTTTTTTGACGTTGAAACAATTTTGTGGTGGATATGTCCATGTTCTAATATAACACTGCATAAGATAAATATATATATGACTAGGTTCTCCTGTTTATGTGGCATGTTTGCAGAGTCCTGTTGCCAGACATGGAGTTATAATGTCGCCATTACTAGTGATCACTCCAAACACCTTCGTAATCATCATTAGACTCATCCAACTCTTTTCGAATCCACTGCATTCTCCTCAAATAGACACCCAAACACTCTGAAATGTTCACATGACAAGTAATTTCCAAGTTTGTCTGATGATCGAGAAAGCGTGAAACCCAGGGTTACAAAATCATATATATATATATATATATATATATATATATATATATATATATGATATATGAGGAGCTTTGATACAGCGAAAAGTACTGTTTGCGAATGACACACACACACACACACACACATATATATATATATATATATATATATATATATATATATATGAAGTGAACATTGAAGTCAACACTTAGAGACGACACTCTCTTACATGCTAGACGCAATCGTCAGGCCAGTTGACTTCAATGTTTACTTTTATATTTACACACGCTCTATCGCGTGTGTAAATATAAAGGTGAACATCTGATATTGAGCACTTTATCCCATGCCACACCTTAAGACTAATTCTTCATTCATATATATATATATATATATATATATATATATATATATATGTCGGAAATAAGATACGATTATGTAAATGATCATTTTCACCTTGTAAAATTAAATTTACAGTATTTGTTATGAAAGTATTGAGGTCTATGTGTGAATCTGTTTTATTGTGTTAATAGGATTCACTTGGATTATATACCAACCTGTACATATATATATATATATATATATATATATATATATATATATATATATATATATATATATATATATATATAGTTGTCTGAAATGAGCTTGTATCATGAAAGAGGGAAATTCATATCCACACAACTGAATGTGAGCTTTATCATTGATATTGAGCAATTTCAATATGTACCGTGCACATATTAAATATATAGAAATTATATATATATATATATATATATATAATATTTTATATATTTCATACATACATGCGGTACATATTGGAAAGTGCTCAATATCAATGTAGGAAATGAATCCCAATCTAAAATATTTCACCTTTATTAAGGTTTCCTCTGAGATTGAGAATAGAAATGAAAAAGGCGAAGAGACAGACGACTGGAATGTTATGATTTTTCGTAGTTCTTTTTGTTAATTCCGATTATAGGCATCTCCTGTAAGTGAAAATTAAAGTTAGCGGTCTTTAATTTTACTGGAAAATTTAGTCTTTAAAATACATTTGGGGAAAATCTAGAAAATCTTTTATCTACTTTTAAGCGGAATTAGAATTGAAAATTACTTATTGAACAGGTGTGTGGCCTGACTGAACAGGTGTGATTCCCTAATGAATTTATTAATATGCCATTGTATATCCGGTATGAGAGAATTAATTTTCAAGAAACTTGTCATAACATCTGAGCTAGAATTACCCTAAAAGAAAGAAAGAAAGAAAGAAAACATGATGACAAGCAACAGTACAAACAAGGATATAAATAGTAAATAATTTCAATTATTCCCCTCCCCGCCTACCTACCGAATATCCCCACTTCGCCTGCTCGTTACAATTACTATCTATTTTTTATTTTTTTTTTTTTTTTTTGACTTTGAGATGTGACCCTGATGCGTTAAAATGGGAGATGGGGAAAATCAGGAGAAACAAGGAGTTTCAGATCAGTAAATTAGGCTATAAAATTAGTCCCCCCAAAGTTGAGACGAGTTGAAGTCTACAAAGAAATAAAATTGTAATGATTAAAAAACAGTTCAATGCTGGGTCGCAAGGCCCGGCCTCCTTGGTTTTTCATTGGTTGTTGCGATTAGCCAATGAGAAACAAGCACTACACTCGTGTCCCTCCTTCCTTCACAGCTGTTATTGAGAAAAGTAGTATTAGGGCGGGGTAGGTGGCAAAGTAGATGGCGGGGGGGGGGAGACTGACGTAGACGGTGGTGGGGTATTCCCGCTGACGACCAAGAGCACGCGTTAGAAGCACGCTAAGATTTGGCCTCTCTCTTTTTTTTTACGACTTGTTTTTGTGCTGTTTTTCTTTTTCTTCTTTGAAAAACAGGAAAGGTAGGGCAAAAAGGAAGTGATGGGGAGAGCTGAGGTGTTAGTCCTTTGGTTAGGGAAGATGGAAGGGGCACGTGAGTCGCACTATACAAGAAGCTAAAATGTGGGGGTAGGCAGAGGAAGATGTTGGGTTTTATTTCGTTTTTATTTCTTGAGATGATTAAAAAAAAAAATTATCTTTTAAATCTTTCTTCTTCTTTATCTTCTTCTTCTTCTTCTTCTTCTTCGTCTTCTTCCTCTTCTTCTTCTTCTTCTTCTTCTTCTTCTTCTTCTTCTACACACCACCGATCAAGAGTTTGTCTACGTTCACACCCTCACTATCTGGCCGGTTGTCGATTCAGTCTGCTACCCCGACCCGTAATCACCACCCTTCTACAGCTTTCCTTTATTTACTTATTTATATATATATATATATATATATATATATATATATATATATTACGCACACACTTACACACACTGATATGAGTTTTCTTAGTAAACGTACGAGCGTGTTATTGAAAGCGTGCGCCTGTATTGAGGCGTGCGCGTGGAGTAATCGGGGTACTGTGCTCCACGCGTACGCCACCCGATTATAGCCACCCACATTAATAGTTTTACTAAATAAAATACCCGTTGTCTTTATTTTAGCTTCTATTTACCACATAATCATGTGAGTCGACATTTTCGTGCTTCAGTTAAAAATGTTGCATGTGCAAATTTGAGAAACAAAGTACACGAGGCCCCGGATGTGAAAAATTCTCTCTCTCTCTCTCTCTCTCTCTCTCTCTCTCTCTCTCTCTCTCTCTCTCTCTCTCTCTCTCTGGACAAGTTCATAATAGAGAGATTTGAAGAGACTAAGATAGATAGATAGATAGATAGATAGATAGATAGATAGATATGAACAGACTGGGTCTTCCATAATGACAAATATTCACATAAAGTTTAGGGAAAAAAAGCGTCAAATTCAAATGATGAAATGTTTAATGTGAAATTTTTAAAATAGTCATGGAGATTTTTTTTCTCATATTGAAAGAGAATTGTCGATTTTAGTTATCTCAAAATTATTTCAAATGAATGCTATGCGTTACTTATTAGATACCAAAAATTTTCACTGGACCTTAGATGACCTTTTAGAGTTAAACGGAATAGATGCATATGCTTGCGCGCACGCGCACTCGTGTGTGTGTGTGTTGCGCGCCCACATAAACAAAGTGTCCCTGAAAATGTTTCTACAATTTCTTTGCTTTTCTTTTTGTTAGCTTGTTGTTTGAAAATCTTTCATAATAAAGTTTCTAGAGAAATCAGCAATCACCTCTGTATTTATGCAATCTTTCATTGCAAAAAAAATCTTCCCAGTTTAGAAAACTTAGTAAAAATTACCGTATTTTATGGCATATAAGACTCCCCACGCCCCACCCAATTTATATTTACGATTGTAGTATTATAAAGATAAAGTGTTATAGTCACTACCAGACTCACTGTTTACATTTAATATGTCATTACGTTTCGTACCAATAAAATGGTAATCTACAGCATGTGGGTATGCTAAACATTATCCTACCAAATACCTCAAGTTCACATGTAAAGCACACAATAACTATTTTATTAGACAATTGGGTCTTATAAACCCTCAGCTACGGTTTTGTTAAAAAAGAATACATTCTGAACACAGGTTGTTTCATAAATATACACAGTCCTTTATTTCTGAAAAGCAACTGTAGTCCTTATCTGAAAAATTAAATAAACACTTTCATAATTTAATATATAAATCTCAGCATTTGTATGTGTATTTTCTCGAAAGCCAGAAAATTAAGAGCTGCCAGCTCAGCCTTCTTGAACACCCATTTCTCCTAATGGGGTTTTAGTTCCTCCAAAACGAGCGACCTTGTCTCGATGTCGAGGCCGCTCGCTCACGCATAATGTTTCCAACCCAAGGAGAAATTGTATTGCTTTGATTCTGGCAAAAACCTCATTTAGTAACCCGGTACCTTGAGTGGCTCTTGCGCCTTGAACTGGGCGAACGCTAGTAAAAAAAAATACTGATATATAAAGCTGATAGTCAGTCTGAATGTGTGTCTATCTTCTCCAGAACCCATAAAGTTAAATATACAGAAAATTTGTCTGCGTGTGTGTGGATAACTATTACATAAACTCGTGGTATCAGATAAATTCAGTTTTTTTCATTTTTATTTACTAGAATGTGTTTTATATGTTACCCACTTTAGTGGATGTTGCTTAACTAAAATAACTAATTTGTATATTCAACTTTAAAAGGGATATTTTTATAAAAATAATTGTCTTTTTATAAAAAAAAGTAACTACTTTTTATAAAAAAAAAAATAACTGCTTTTTTTATAAGTGTTTGTTTTGCTGATGAATTTTATAATTAAACTGCGAATTTTTAAAAATAAAACAGTTTTTCTCTATTGAAAATGGTAACCAGCTCAGTATTTAAATCACAGCTTAGGCGTAAAGAAATAATGTTAGAATAAATTTTAGAAAGAAAAACATTCAATGTTTATAAGTATGTCGCTATCGTTAAAGTGTTGAACAGGCTCATAAAAGCCTTACAACTGCACCGATATTTGGCCGACATTAGTCGGCAAATCATCAAGAAAAAATGCACTACGAAAAAAGAATATCTTTAAAATATAAATGTAAAAGACAAAAACGTTCCATGTTTTCTATATTTTATGTATCAATGAAAATTAACGAATTAATAACCATTCGCTCATTTTTTTTAGAATGGTGGGCATTAAATCGGTACAATATTATAATTAATAGTGGATTTTTTTAGAAATAATTAATAACTGATCTTTTGTTTATTTGTTGTTGTTTTTTTAGAAACCTATACAATAATACTAAAGTTTTATTTTCATTTTTATAATTAATATTAGATTCTACGGTAGACATTAAGTAGTTAAATGAATGGATGTCTCTTGCATTTCGAACATAATTCACAATCATTTGACAATCAGGCCGTCTTGTAAGTTTGGTTTCGAAGACGGGTATGGCGACGAACACTGATGAGAAAGAATGGGACGATAGAGGAATAGGCGGGGAACATAGATAGATAGATAGATAGATAGATAGATAGATAGATAGATAGATAGATAGATAGATAGATAGAATATGTGAGATAGCTAGATAGATAGATAGATAGATAGATAGATAGATAGATAGAATATGTGAAATAGCTAGATAGACAGATAAGGAAATAGATAGATAGATAGATAGATAGATAGATAGATAGATAGATAGATAGATAGATAGATAGATAGAATATGTGAGGTAGCTAGATAGACAGATAAGGAAATAGATAGATAGATAGATAGATAGATAGATAGATAGATAGATAGATAGATAGATAGATAGATAAGGAAATACATAGAGAGAGACTGTGTGTGTGAGCGTGTTTGTGTTTGTTATAGTGTGTATGTTATGAAAGAGAGTGCTAGAGAGGGGGCATTTTCAAATTAAGATAGATAAACAGAGAGGGTTGATGGGAAGAGAAGAAAAATTTTATTTTTTCTTTTTTATTTTTTTTCTGGAGATTTGGATCAAAGGACATTCAGCAAATAAGCAACACAAAACTACAAAGATGAGGATGTTAGTCTTTCGAAGTCAACGGGTAATGAACAACAATACGTTCTCGCCTTGAAAACGTTTTCTTTACACACGCTCATATCACGAAATCTGTCAAATGAAACATTCCGTTAACGTTGCCTTTATGCGTGTTCCTATCAACGTTTTTCTGGACTATTTTCTGCATATTATTTATTGATTTTAACTCTGTATTCCGACCGATACATTCATCAGACTTCCCTATATCGAATCTGGATGAATCATTGAAAGAAAAATTGACGTGTTTAGTTAATATTTTAAAACCCACTGTGAGAAAAAAAATTAATTTAGATTGCTTATTGATTAGGTTTTGCGATGATACAGGGATCAGTGTATAGATATCAATTTCTTTAAAAAGCCACACTATTTACATTATTCAGACTATTGTCCTCATCTTTGTCGCCGTTTCGGCCGTTGCACGCTCTGGCCTTCTTTAGGTAGTTAGAATGTTGAACTGAACCCTTTATTTCGCTCACTGGGGTAAACTGTTCTAGTTCCACGTGCCATGTTTAATGGATGTCAGTTATCTCCTGTTAATTCCCCTCTCCAAGTTCTCCACTGCCTTAACCGGGTATTGAACTCACACTCTTTAGGTCCTGTCACTAACTAACGCCTTTATCCACTGTGCCATGTGTCATGGAGATTCTTTAAAAAGATATGAAAGCCATATGACTCCTAAACACTAATTAGTTATTTTCGCTTTTTAAAAAGAATATTTATATCCCCATTTTTTAGAAAAGATCCGCTTTTTTATTTATTCTGTAAAAATAGGCCCCTCCAAAAATGTACTAAAAACAATAATGAAAAAATGCCCAAAACATAATAAAAATAGAATATTATCATCAAGATTTTTGCCATTATTAAGAGAAAAAATTCAAAGGACTTTTTTTTATGCAAAAATTAAATTTTATTCTTTATAGAACCCTGACAATTCTGTTAAAATCTTTTGGGGGCGTCAAAGCGGGACTTTACGGGAAATTTGAGCGTCTTTTTGCGGTAAAAAAATCATAGATTTGGAAATTATTTCAAAAATCAAATAATAGTCGCATTTTAATTAAACTTTCAGGACTTATTTAAAAATGAATGAAATTATTTTTCAAATGTGTATTTTTTTAGAAAATCTTTGTAAAAATATATGTTTTCATCTGTTACCCCCGCCTCATCTTTCACAAAATTTTAGAAATTCTTTTTAGTATTGAAAATATTTAGATTTGATTAGAGCAAATCATTAAAATATTTTGGTCAATGAGTAACCTCAATGGCCGAAAATCTGCCTTGAATTTAAAAACATCAAATGCAATACAACTAAGCCATTGTTTAATTAGAAAAGCTTTTAATTACTTTAATGAATAAAATATATCATGAACACTACTGTCTTAAGAAAAAATAATTTTCACTGAATAATTAATTGTTTTCATTATTTTTTTAAATTTTAATTAGAATAATTTATAAATTTTTAAATCTTTTAACATTCTGTATTAATCTGTAGCAGTCAATTAATATATTCTTATTAAATTAAAACTGGATATGCTAATCATAAATGGAAAAGCTTACTACAATTCAATGATCCTCCAGGATTTTAAAACGAATTTTGAAATGTTTTTAATGTATAAAAGCTGTTCTACTGATGTCTATACATAACATTATTGAGTTTCCTATAATAAATTTAAAATTTACTGGTAACTTTCAAACATTTTCTCTATAAGCATTTTTGTAAGTAAGGTTATAAACCAAAATAATGGGTGGTCCGAAAGTCTTGTCGCCCCTACCTCTATTCTAAACAGTTCGTGTCAGCTATCTGAAATAGAAAATTATATTATCTATGGATGACAAGACTTTCGGACCACTCTGTATATAAATATCAATAAAATATTAGATTGCTTAAAATATTTTCTTAATTTTTAAGATTACTGAGTAGGTGTAAAAACATAAAAAAAGGTGTTCGTGTTGTATTCCTCAAGAAGTTTTCGCAAGTTCTTTCCACTTTACTTAAATTTACTAAACATCAGCCAGTCAACAAGTCCCTTAACCCATCAGAAAAAAACAACCCTCAGTGTTAAATAATTTTCTGTTATGTATTAATCTGAAAGTATGTTTGTTCCAGTTCAGATTAATTATACTTGAAATACCGCAATTCCCCATGTATAATACGCATTTTTGTCTAAAAAATAATTAGCAAAATGAGGGGTGCGTATTATGCACAGCTACAAAAATCTTTAAAAAATTGCCGTTCCATAGGTCAGTTGCGAAATGACTTACCCACCACAAATATACGACAATTTAACACTAACATTCGGCGATTGCGACCCCATAAGGATGTCAAATACAATCATATGTACCTAAAAATACTTACTAATGTAAAATAAAATAAGAATTCTCATAAAACAAAATTAGAATAATATTATTCTATGTTTAAAACCATTTGTAGGAAACGCTAACAGTAATGAAAGAGGTACAATTTATAGGGTTTGATTACCAAACAAGGGGTGCGTATTATGCATGAGTAAAAGTATTTTCCCACACTTTCAGCACAATTTTAGGGGAGTGTATTATGGATGAAGGCGTATTATAAATGGAGAATTACGGTAAACTATTTTTTCTCAAATAACATCTCAGAAAAGTATATTTTATTTTTGAAAGATTAAAAACGAAAGATGTTATTTTTAAAGATCTGTCAATATGGACTAATTTATAGATGTTACTGATATGGAGAAAAAAAATGAAATCGATTTAAATTTGGTTTGGAATACAGCAAAGTATTTTACTTATTAGGAATATTTAATTTAATCTATTAGATTGGAATTCAAACTAAAATTAAATCTTCGAGGTTTTATTTTTTTTTTTAATTTTTAAAATGCATTTTAAACTTAGGCATAGTTTTTTGTGACGGTACCTAGTAAAAAGTAAAAACAAAAAACTTATGGCCATTCTTTGGATTTTTTTTTCCGTAATTGTAGCAACAAAAGCAAGTATGACATAGGAAATGAAGGAGTGCTGTTTTGATGTACCAATTTCACCCATTTCCCTACGTTACCATCATCACATGATCTTTTTACATGTAGGTGGTTTCGTTTCGTTTCGTTTCATTTGGTTTACGGCATGGGTTATTTAATGCCGACAAAATTTATTTTCACTATTTAAATCATTCAGACTATTGTCCTCATCTTTCTCGCCATATTTATTACAACGTTTCGGCCTTTCAGTATCTGTCTATATTTCTGAGATGAGGTATTATGTACATTATTTACATTATTCCGACTGTTGTCCTCGTCTTTCTCACCATATTTATTACAATGTTTCGGCCTTTCAGTATCTGTCTATATTTCTGAGATGAGGTATTATGTACACTATTTACATTATTCCAACTATTGTCCTCATCTTTGTCTCCATATTTATCACAACGTTTCGGCCTTTCAGTATCTGTCTATATTTCTGAGATGAGGTATTATGTACACTATTTACATTATTCGGACTATTGTCCTCATCCTGATAAGAGGCCTTGCTGTTGGACGTAGTGTATCGTCATACCCACGACGCGGACGTAGTTTATCGTCTTACCCACGACGCGGATGTAGTTGACGATACATGTGGATGGCTCAGTGGTTCTTTCACCGAACTGAACACCTATTTAAAGAAGCAACAAATTTATCCAAACGGATTGATTATGCTCGGGGGTTGATTCTATGATAAACGTCCGTGTATTGTTTGGCCGTGTCAAACACAGAACATTGCAGACTTAACGTAACGTGACCCTACGAGTGTCACTATCTTCATTTACGTGCTGTGATCTTTACTGAGGTTACTCGCCGCCTCCCTCTGTCCCTCTTGCCTTCAATATATCCTGTGTGATTCAAATTCTCCAAGCCCTCTTTTCTCAATATGTGCCCTCGTAACTTCAACTGTCACTTTCTGACCTTTAGCCTTAAAACTTTTCTCATTGCTCACATGCTTCAACATCCTTCTGCAGAATCACATCTCTGTTGAGTCGTCTGGGGAGATTGTCCAGCATTCATTCTTATATAAGAGATTAGATATAACACAGATTAGCACTTTGTTTCTAAAGAAAAGTGTCTCTTTCTTAATACTTTGCTTAGCTTTTTGAAGGCATATTACACTATTCCAATGCACCTTCGGATTTCGATGTCATATTTTCCGGCATTTTTTAAAATAGATCCTAGATATTTAAATTATTCTACTTGATTGATTTTGGTATTTTCCAATTCGTATTGCACATCTTGGGGTGCTTCTGTTGCAAAAGACCATGCGTAATCAATTCTTACAATTTGTAGTTAGTCCTTTCTTCCCACTTTCCATTACAGAAGAACAATTCTATTCTTTTGTAAACCTATAACAAGGGTTCAGTCCTGCAGTATACGTACACTGTAAATTGAACCTTCACTTTATAACCAGTTTAAAAGTTTGTTTTTTTTTTCCTAAAAACTGCAACATTTCCAAAAAGAAGGGCAGCTCTAGTTTAGTTTGGTTTGTTTTACGGCATATCAACACCTCAATGGGTTATTTAATACCGACAATATTTTTTATTGCTGGTAATAATTTTTCTTCAAAAATTTATTGCTGGTAATTTTTTACAAAGTATTTATGGTATTAAAACCTATTTTTACATTTTCATAGTGTTTTGACCTCAGTTAGGGTGTCAACTATTTACCCATGGCTGGAACCGTAACAGGTGCTACTAGCCCGAGTCAGGGTGGACCTGGGAACACCAGCAATTAAGAGGTGGTTCCAAGCTACTCAAAACTTCCTGAAAGAGGCCTTGCTGTTGAATGGAGTTTATTATCTAACCCAGGACGCGGATGTAGTTTATCGTCATACCCAAGACGGGATCGAGTTTAAGTTGAATCACTCTTTATATGATTTCATTTACTGTGCAAAAAAGTTTATCCTGCCACTGAAGATTACTCTGATCCTTGAATTTGAATTTGCTTGAATTGCGTAGTTGTGTTGCCAAATCCTGCTATGGCAGCAGAAAACATATTTGAGTGAAATTAACAATAAGGTTTTACAGTTGAGAGGCCTTGAAAAAGAATGCAGTGAAAAGGGAATTAATATTAATAATACAGAATGCTAAAGGTTCAACAGTTTAAAGTATATATTAAAAAATGCATTTAAATACATCACAAGTTCTGACGTAAATCTTTGCGATATTACCAGCCAATCGAACAAAGAATATTTTGCTAAATGATTCCCTTTTCTGGTAGATTAGTTGGTTCAACATTTCACTTTGGGGTTAGGGATTCGGGGTAAAATAAAAGGTTTTTGACTACGAGTTAGGAGAACCTGATTTTTTAATTATATGACCATTATACAGCGGGCTGGGTTAGTCATTAAACAAAATAAGCACGTGTCAGGCCACCAAAAGAGAAGAGAAGAGAATACCACAGGGTTTTCTTCTGCTTTGTTATGACCAAATCATTTTTACGACAAAGGCTAACGGGTTAGTGTTAAAACGCTTTAAGAAAAAAATTGATGAAAAATGTCCATCCTAACTTGTTCTTTAATTATTTTTGTAGGGGTCTTAAAATTATTATTGTAGGGGTCTTAAAACAAGAAAACCCTGTCTCTTTTTCTTTCTTTTTTTTTTTTCTTAAGAACAGGTTGCCCAATGAAACGTCGTTATTTTATTTTAGTTCCTGAGCATTATAATGCTACTCAGATTCTCACTCAGTTTTTGCAGTATCAACGAAATTCGTCTATTTTAACGTCCCATAATATTTGGACACTGTGAAGTAAGTTTCTGCATTTCTTATTAATTAAATTAATTTATATATTCAATATAAAAAGAGATTTTCATTACGTGAATATATTTTGTTATTAATTTTAAAAAAGAACTCTAGACCGTGTCGTTATCATGATTAGTACGGTGCGGGAGCACTATTGTTGGGTTGTGCTTCTGGCATCAAATGAACTAAATCCTGTCCTGACAACGGTAATTCCTAAATTATCCGGACACGTTGGAACAGGGTTGAAAAAATATGTCTGCATGATTCAAAATTCAAAATTCAAAATTAGCGGAAAAGAATGAAGGAAAAAGTCATTTTCTGAAAGAAAACTAACATTTTTATTATCAAAAAACATTTTCAAGAGTTTTGTTCTAGGTTTTGTCAGGTTTATTTTATTTTATTTTTTTTTTTTAAGTATATCAATTTTTGACTGATTCCAGTTGACGTCGCGTTTTTCTGCCGCGAACATCCGAGGCCGGATTAAAGAAGATCCATTTATGAGGGTACAGCTTCTAGGTGAAGGCGGAACCAATTTAAATGTTCACTATTTACATTATTCGGACTATTGTCCTCATCTTTGTCGCCATATTTATTACAACATTTCGGCCGTTGTACTCTCCGGCCTTCTTCAGGTGGTTGGAATGTAGAACTGGAACCTTTATTTCGCTCACTGGGGTTTCGGCCTTTCAGTATCTGTCTATATTTCTGAGATGAGGTATTATGTGCACTATTTGCATTATTCGGACTATTGTCCTCATCTTTATCGCCATATTTATTACAACGTTTCGGTCTTTCAGTATCTATCTATATTTCTGAGATGAGGTATTATGTACATTATTTACATTATTCGGACTATTGTCCTCATCTTTGTCGCCGTATTTATTACAACGTTTCGGCCGTTGTACGCACCGGCCTTCTTCGGGTGGTTGGAATGTCGAACTGAACCTTTTATTTCGCTCACTGGGGTAGACTGTTCTAGTTCCACGTGCCAGGTTTAATGGATGTCAGTTATCAGTTATCTCCTGTTAATTCCCCTCTCAAAGTTCTCCACTACCTTAACCGGGTATTGAACTCACACTGTTTGGATTCTGTCGCTGGTTCTAACTAACGCCTTTATCCACAGTGCCATGTGTCCTAATTGGTCAAGTATAAGTCATTGCTTCGGTGTTTGTGGATTGAGGCTGTTTTAACCTCATCATGAGCAATACCTTCCTCCTCCTTTTCATTCGTTTCAACCGGTGTTTAATGTCTTTGCTCCATGCTAGGCAAGCAACAAAAGATATTTTCCACTGAAGCATGGTTTACGTGTGTCACGTGAATCTGAGAGTTGCGTAAGCCATAAGCTCTGACATGACCAAACTTTGATAATCCAAATGTATGTTGTGTATATAAAAACAACGAGGGATTTAACAAGAATTAATTGAACTGATTTTATCAGCGTTTTTTTACCATACGTTGAGAATGGTTTTCTAAATTCTCAAAATGCTTGTCTGAGATGAAATATTAGAATGGATTTAGTTCAATTATCGGCCATGCGTGATACACGCTTAGGCGATCATGTATCTTTCGATACATGATTGACGAGGCAGATTTTTCTCCCGCAGTAGGTTGCCATTTCTTTCTGCGGTAGATCAGTTGCCATCCAAGGCTATAGAACCCGATCTGTCCTACTAGTTACCCACATCTGAGGGGAGAAGAAGATTCATACTCTTCCCAAGGGTATTAGCACGTAAGTGAATGTAATGGATTTGACTGGAAGTTGAACTCGGCTATCCGATTCCTCAATCCGAGCCGTTATCCATTACTTCACTGTATAATTGGAAAATGCTTGAATGGTTTTAATTTTTCCATTCATTTCACGGTCGCATAATCGAACTCCGGAAAATCGAAGTACGGATAAACGATTGTTTTTGTTTTGTTTTTTTTTTTTGTTTGTTGTTTGTTTTTTGTTTTTTGCTTCTGGTTGATTCGTTTTCTACGGTTTATCAGGCCAATGCAGGTTATTTAAAGCCAGAAAATATTTTTAGATTCTCAGGATTAACAGTTTAGTATTACTGAGAGGGAGAAGAGGTGGAGTCATGCCTTTCCCATGTGTATTTGCGCATAAAACGGGAATTGGAACTCGGCTCTCCGATTAACAATTCTGAGCCAATATCCGTTACACCACCCGCACACCCAAGCTTACAGCAGCTGGTATTCCCAAGCAGTCACGGGAATTGGAACTCGGCTCTCCGATTAACAATTCTGAGCCAATATCCGTTACACCACCCGCACACCCAAGCTTACAGCAGCTGGTATTCCCAAGCAGTCATGGGAATTGGAACTCGGCTCTCCGATTAACAATTCTGAGCCAATATCCGTTACACCACCCGCACACCCAAGCTTACAGCAGCTGGTATTCCCAAGCAGTTACGGGAATTGGAACTCGGCTCTCCGACGGATAATCGAGAAAACGCTGCATGTAGCAAACGTTAATCTATAAACCGTTTATTCCCTCCTTCGTTCTGTGAGAATTTAAAAACTTGAGAACAATTTAAAACTTCTTTTTTTTAATTATAAATTTATAACTATTTAAAAGCAGTTTAAGGAACGTTTTAATATCGACCTTGCATAATATCATATTATCCATTCCGTTTCAATTGCGATGAAAGCTGGAAGAAAAATCTATCAAAGACGTTGTTTGATTTTACAGGGATCATTCAAAAAGTTCTAAGTCTCACTTAGAAGGAGTTGAAGAAACCCTGCCGAAGACAGTTTTTCACTAGTTTTCAATATAGTCGCCTTTGATATCAATGCACTTGGTCCAATAATGCTTTAGCATTGCAATCGTATCACGGAAGAAGGTG